GAAAACCAGGGCGTTGGGTTCACTCTTTCATATATTATTTTCTTGCCATAGCTTCACTAATATGTTTATCCATATTATTCATACTTTGTTCGAAGTAGTTGTCGGCATTATCGATAATTTCAAGTATATGGTGTTGTAAGTGTTTCTCGTGATTTTGTGAATTCAATGACTGTAATTTCTTTCATTTTATTTTCATTGAACATATTTCCCACTTCGAATTATATCCATGAGTGATCACTTATCTTTGGGTATTCTTAACTTCAGCAATTAGATTTTGTTGATTAGTTATGAGCAAATCTATTAATATCAAATATTTTCCATCAAGAAACAATTTCACTATCTACGCGGAAACTTCTGGAAAGCTATTCAAAAAATCTTCGAAGACAATGATAGAAGAATACTTCTGGGATGGCAATGTTTGACAGTATATCAAAATAACGACATTTCTCAGTGTAGAAAATGCTACCGTTTTAATCATACAGAAAAGAATTGCAGGAATGAGAAGATATGTGCCAACTGTGGCAACGGTCACGAAGAAGAAAATTGTAAGCATGTATCAATAGAATGCTGCAACTGTAGATATGGAAATGAAATTATAAAAAAAATTATAATATTAACCACTCACCTATCGACAAAAACTGTCCATCGTACAAATATTATCAGGAACAACAAAACTTAAGGATACTTTTTTAAAATTCAAGTTCATCTTTTACTACTCCTATCTCTAAAGAGGACCTAAAAATGTCAGTAAATAAATACATTAATGATTTCCAAATTCCAAGTATTGCAACAAATATAGCACAAAACGTCGATGAACTTAATTTATGTACACAAAATTCTGATGCAAAATTTCGAATTTTTAATATGAACATAAGGAGTATAAAACACAACGTTGATTACTTAAAATACTACTCGACCAAATATGGTACAATTTTGATCTAATAGTTTTAACTGAAACGTGGAAAGTGGCTGATATTTCTTGCTTCAATCAGCAGGGATATGACACGCTGTATAACTTTGGCACTTATAACCAAAACGATGGGGTGATAGTTTTTGTAAGAAATAAACTGCAATATAATCATGATACATTCACTTTCACCGATGGAATCAAAATTTTAAACATAATGATCCAAATTAACCATAACAAAATTGATGTATCTGCAATTTATCGTCCGCCATGTTCAGAACCCCACGAGTTTTTAAAGAATATCGAATTTTTTTTTCAAAATCAAAATAAAGTTCATTTAAAGCAACATATTTTCTTGGGAGATGTCAATATAAATATTTTGGACGATGATCCCATCACAAATGAATACTTGAATATCCTATCAAGTAACGATTTCTGTCCTATATAAACCTACCTACAAGGTCCATCAGTGGCACATGTATAGATCACTGCTTTGTGAAAGACCTATCGAACAAAATTACTTGTATACCAATAATCCTAGAAAGCGATATTACTGACCACTCTCCACTATTTTACTGATATCTTCAAATGAAAAACATTCTAACATTCCTACCGTTAGTAACAACCAGGAAAATTACAAATTTTTGTCGACAATTCAAACTAATATCAAATGTCAAACAAGAATCCTGGGAACAATTTATACTCTATAATATAGTATAGAAAAGCAACGGGACTGTTCATAGAGAAAATAAAAAAACTAATAGATATTAGTACCAATAAAGTAATAATTAGTCACAAAGAGAAAAGCAGAAATGCCTGGATTACCAAAGGATTAATAACATCGGCAATAGAAAAAGAAAGACTATATAATGTAATGAAACTAACGCCAACTACAGAGAATACCGACTGCTACAACCAATATAAAAATAAATTTATAGAGCTTGTAAGGCAAACCAAACGAAAACATTACCTAAATAAATTGAATAATAACTTAAATGATCCTAAGCGGCTTTGGACAACTATTGATGAGATTACTGGGAAAACAAAAGTTAAAGAGTGTGTCACTGAGTTAAATACAACATCGGGAACAGTATTAAAAAATACTCAACAGATATGCGATGAATTTGAATTTCTTTACTGACATAGGCGAAAATTTAGCAAGTAATATACAAGCAAATGTACAAAATACTCAGCCTCCAAAAAGAACTTTGAACTCATTTATTTTGGATAAAGTCGAGCAATGTGAAGTATACACCACTGTTATGTCCTTAAAAAATCGGAAAAGTCCTGGGTTCGATGGTATTAAAAGCGAGCATTTGAAAAGACAGAACCACTCACTTACCTAATCAACAAATGCTTTGAATCTGGCATATATCCCTCAATTTTAAAAAAAGGTAATATAATACCGATACATAAATCAGGAACAAAAACAGATGTTAACAACTATATACCAATATCAATAATATCCAGTGTAGCAAAGGTTTTTGAAAAAGTTTTATCTACTAGAATGATTCGATACCTCACAAAATTCACAATTTTAAGAGAAAATCAATATGGATTTACAGAAGGGAAGGCTACATCGGACGCAATAACTAAAATTGTAAATCAAATACATCAAAATATTGATAACAGAATCCTTCAATCTGCATTTTTGTTGATTTAAAGAAAGCTTTCGACACAGTTACTCACAAATTATTATTAGAAGCATTGGAGAGAATTGGTTTCAGAGGAAACGCGTACTCACTGATCGAAAGTTATTTGTCAAATCGCCCACAATCTGTGCTGATATCAGGATCATTTAGTAAAGAAATGTATATTAAGTGTGGTGTCCCACAAGGAACTGTCTTAGGTCCGCTGTTATTCAATATATATTTAAATGATATTATTCCAAATTAATTGTGTTGGCAAAATAACTAGTTTTGCAGATGATACTGCAATATTATATGAAGGCACTGACTGGTCTGATCTGAAAAAATGTAATTGAAAATGATTTATCAAAATTATTCGGTGGTTTAACAGTAGAAAATTAAGCATTAACTACTCTAAAACACATTTTTTACCATTTGGATCTTATGCTAGACATCTGCCAAATTACACAAATTTCTCCTTCAATATTAATGATCAAAAATGCAAATTAATAGAGTGCCCAACATAAAATACCTTGGATTGGTCTTGGCTCCTCACTTACGATGGGACATCCATGTCATTATATTTTAAAGAAAGTTAGATTTGTATCCTACAAATTAAATACCTTGGAATATATTGATAGAAAATATCTTCGAACATTATACCATGCACTGATTGAGCCTCATCTCACATATGGTATATTAGCATGGGGAGCTGCATGTTCCTCACATATCTATAATTTAGATGTTTTTCAAAAAAGTATTCTAAAAATGATATTTGAAAAACCGAAACTTTATCCCACTGAAAAATTATACGCAGATGTTCGAATGTATGATATAAGACAGCTTTATTTCTTACACCGTATCACTCACTAACCATAATTTGTAAAACACCCACCAAAAAATTAAACATAATCATTATACCAGGTACAAAATTCGTGGCACAGTAGTTCCTCAACCGCATAAATCTATAATGCAGCAATCATATCTCTATTTAGCGCCTAAATTTTATGAAATTATACCTAAAGACTTAAAAGATTTACGTTTCGGAAATTGTTTTCAAAGGTAATTTAAAAAAGTGGCTACATTCTATATCTAGGACTGAAATTCATAAACTCATAAATACGAACATCAACTAAATACATAATCTACTGTAGCTAATTTTTGTCCTTTTTTGTCATTTGCATTCTACAGTTTCAACTTAAATTTATTGGTCCATGTACAGGCGATGCCTTCTATTGGGCCTGTTTGATTTTATATTTATTTACTCATATTGTTTGTTATCTTTGTACCATTGAGTGAATAAATATTATTATTATTATATTATTATTATTATTATTGTTGTTTTAGAAAGTTCGTAATCCGTGTATAGTCATTTATTTTCTGCCATAATCCATGGAGGTTAGTACTTGTTCAAATTTTGTAACATAGAAATCTTTACTGTCAAAATTTATATTAAAGTTTCCTAAATGTACATTTGTGCAATTCCTGTAATAATGTTTTTCACATCTACTTTCAAAAAAATCAATAATCGATTGACGCTTCCACTTGGAGATCGGTAATAAATATACAGATTGTAATTTTTTTGTATCCTCATTTTCAGATTGATGTACCGCCACTGATATTCAACAACTACAATGTTCTGTACGTTGACTTCAATGCTATACGTATATAGTGTATATATCAATATACCACCTGTATGCTTCGAAACAGAGCTTACTCTTACAACTTGATAGCCGTGAATATCGATCTCTCCCTCCTCAATATCTTCTGTTACATGTGTTTCTGTTAAACTAATATAGACTAATGACTAAACGCACAGACGCTGTCGAACACCTACGCGACGAGACGCTGGGCACTAGAGAAGTCAGACGCGAACGGACGGCAGGCAATAATTTCGCGCTATTATGCGCCAAATTTATTGGCCGATTTCAATAATTTTTTCGCTGGATGATTATATTTAGTCTATATTTTGCTGGTATGTCATTACTTATGCGATTCTGAATATCACGAAACTTCTCCATTCCATTGATCATATGTCCGGATCCCACATCTTTGTTTCTTGAACGTGGAGGATCCAATCTTTCCAATGTTTTGCCGTCACTCTGTTAACAGCTTCATAAAACAAATTTTTCACGTCAGAAAACCAGAATGTTCCATTGTTTGAAGCCACATGTTTTTTATTTGCCCAAAAAATTTCTATTGGATTTTATTCGCAGTGATAAGAGGGTGGCCTTAAACCGGTCTTGTTTTGGTTTTTAGCCATATCGTCAATAACACAACCATAGCTATTGCAACGCTTAGGCGGTTGCCGCTTTGCCGCGCTGCTTCTTTGTTGTTCCGGGGCGTTAATGGACTACGAATAGGGTATATATGATGCAGAAAAACTATTGCCCGTCGAGAAACGCCATTATAATTGTGCAACGATCCATCGACAACTAATTATCTAACATGATATTTTTCTCTAGGCTACATAATTCCATTAGCAGCAAAACGCCAACCACTGCTCTTACCTGCCATCTTGCGTCAGTCTATGCCACGTGGTTTTCTCACGGAACTAGTCGCCAGGACTCAGCATGACAACGAAGCGTTTTCGGAGGTGTTCTCGCCGGTGTTGCAGGGCTTGTACACGATGATGTTGACGGCGAGTGTCATCGAGGACGAACATAGAGCCCCCTTGCAGGCGCTCTTCGAACTAACGGATATCCGGGTGGGGAACAGGCCGCTGTGCAAGCTGATCACTGAACAGGTTTGTTTGAGATGGATTTTATTATTGATGTGCAATGGAAGGTGGCCGAAACGTTTGTACCCAACTAGCAAAGTAGTGCTATAAGCTTTTGGTAAAAGAACCGTTCAGCCATAAAAGCTCTCTATTGTTGCTGCCTGAACACCAAAATGCTGGCTTAATGTTTTGTGGAATGCAAATTTGCTTTCTGCAAAATATTTGCTCTAAAATGAGGTGTTTAAAATATTCTTATAGCATAGTTATACAACACCTTATAGGGCAAATTTTTAGCTGTTGCATAAACGTTTATACAACTATTTTATACGGCATATTTGCAAGTTAGTCAAAATGGTTATGTTGTGACATTCATGGTAACGTTTATAAAACAAGCCCGAGCCTTGTTGTTTTGCTGTGCAATTTACTACTTTAGCCAACAAATTGCTCCCAACGGAACCACTTATACAGCTGTTGTTTAGTAACTGTTAAAGGCTGTACATATGCTAAATATGTTGGTAAACAACTTCACCATAACCTAGCTTTCTGCTGTCATATTTTTGTTAAAATGCCATAACCAATGTTTTAAGACAGACAACGCATGCATATCGGTTCAAAAGGTTTTATCAACTGTTCAAACAGAAGATATAGATCTGGTACAAATTCTGGGTAAATCATTCGACTCTGTCGGTATTTCATTTTATACGTTTGTCAAATTGTTGTATAACACCTGCAGGCAACACCAAAATATTCTAATAACCTAAAGACAAAAGGTTTCAATAAAAATCAAGGTGGAACTCTTCCATCATTCGATCGGATACAATAATTTGTTATACAAATTTCACAATAATACGAGTACACTGCTCCAGTGTTTTATTATGATAAGTTTGTGAATTTTTTTGGTAAATAAAAATACCACTATGCACCCAAAAAAGTATCCGAGATAAAATGAGATTTTCAAAAAATTCACTTATTGTAAAAAGCCTGATATCTAATGTTAGAATTATATTTTTAGTTGCTACTTACAAAACTGGAATTTATATGAAAACAAAGTACTTACAATTTTCTCCAATATTTCCAAATTGTTTTCCAATTTTTTTTTTTGATAATTTGCCATAATTTTTCAAAATTTCTAAATATTTAAATTATTTTCCAATATTTTCAATTATTTTCCAATTTTTTTCAATTTAAAATTCATTTTTTTTCAATATTCCTATTTTTTCCAATTTTTAAATCCAAATTTTTTTCCTTTCGTAATTTCCAAAATTTCATCAAATTCTTCAAATATTATTCAAAAGTTCCAAATCTAACTCCAAATTTTCCAATTTTTTTCCAAATTTGGAAATTCGATTTTTGTTTCAAAATTAAAAAATACAAAATGGAATTTTTTCCAAGATTATTGTATTGTCATCGGCCCTTGACCCCTGTGCGAATTTTGAAGTTGATTAGACTTCTTGAAATTGGTGAAAATTAATTTGAAAGATTCGTTTACATATTTACATACAGGTCAAACTAATAAAAGCGTGTTCTATGAGAATTTGTCACAGCTAAGTTTCTTCTCTCTGCACTAATCAGAAATCTACTTTGAAAAGAGTAGTTTTGTTTGTTGAACCTATATTTCGCATTAATACTATAATGACAATTCATCGTCCTTTCACACATTTTTTGATTCCATTTTCTTTTACATTCTTGTCTATCAAAATTACATTGCTATGCATTTTGGGTATTCATTTAAAGGGATTTTTTAGTTTCACCGTAAATATTATTTTTAAACTCAAACACTGTATAATATCATTATTCAATTTATTCAATTCAAATACTCCTTTTTGAAGTACAGATTTGCTAGTTATGCTACGATTAAAATTTTGAATATGAAAATCTATACTGAATATGAAAATGAGAACTAAATAACTTACAGAATTTTTTGACATCCAACCACTGCAGTTCTTCTGAATCTTAGCATATTTCTTTTTATTTAAAATGGTTCTGTTAGCATTATTTTGTAGATTTTGTAATTTTGAAGATATGCTTTCATTTGCTGTAAACAAAATAGTTGAGCAATATAACAAATTGGGAAGAATTATGCTGTTATACACAATTTTTTTGCAATACATACTGAGATTATGAGAAACTCTATAGAAGTAATTCATCTTTGATGATATTTTTGAAATGATGTATTCATACTGCTCTTGAAACAGTAGTTTACTATCCTTATGTATGTATAGACAGCGCCATGTATGGCGCCTTTTCAAAGTATATATACTAAGTGACATATAAATCCGAACACCCAGTTTAAATAGTTTTATTTTAATAAAAGTTGGTGAATGTATTTATCTTACTGTAAATAACAAGTGAAAAAATGTTCAGCCTTATCAGTTGGACATACCGGTTTTATACTGCTTTTTTTTAATTCACTAACGCTCTAAAAATGAATATTTCAGCCGCAGTAAAGAATCAACGTTGGCGGATTTTGGTTCTTGACATCCTTTACGATCGGTTACGATCCTAGAGTACGGAGACCTGTACGATTTCGTCAACTTAGTGAGTTTGATAGGGGCCGTATAGTGGGACTTCGGGAAGCTGGACTTTCTTTTCGGGCAATTGCAGTTAAAGTGCAAAGAAGTGTAGACACTGTGGTTAGGTGTTGTCAGGCATGGCTTCGAGAAGGCCGTACGCAAAGAGCAAGGGGCACAGGACGCCGCCGTAGAACAACAGACCGTGAAGATCGCCGCCTAAGATTATTGGCCTTAAGGGACCGTTTCTCCACTACCAGGTCCATTGCAAATGAATGGTTTGCAGAACACGGAAGACCTATTGGCATGCGAAGTGTTTACCGACGAATGAGAAGTTTTGGCTTGTTTTCATACCGGCCACACTGGGTCCTCCCTTTAACTCGAGAACACCGACGTAATCGCCTTGAGTGGTGCAAACAACGGTCACTCTGGGATCAGGAATGGAACAGTATTGTCTTTAGTGACGAGTCTCGGTTTTGTTTAGGCATGCACGATGGTGGTGCCAGAGTTAGAAGGCGACGTAGTGAAAGGAGGAATCCACAGTTTTTTGTTGAAAGACATGTTCATCACACTGTTGGAGTTATGGTTTGGGGTGCTATAGCTTATGGTTCCAGGTCACCTTTAATCTTCATCAGAGGTAGCATGAACGCGCAGCGTTATATCCACGAAGTTCTAGAACCCCATCTTTTACCCTATCTTGATACCCTGGCAGATCCAACTTTCCAACAACATAATGCCCGACCACATGTTGCAAGAGTCACAATAGACTTCTTTCAACATAATGATGTCACATTGTTACCATGGCCACCAAGATCTCCCGACTTATCCCCAATTGAGCACGTGTGGGATATGATGGGTAGGAGATTACTCAATTTGCAACGTCCTCCTCAGACTCTAGAAGCACTTCGAGAGGAGTTGGTGGTTGCCTGGAATGAGATACCACAGGAGGACATTGACCACCTGATCAGAAGCATACCTAGGTACGTTGGAGAATGCGTAGCACATGAGGGTGCATCCACACATTATTAGAGGTCAAAGGGCTTTAAAGCAGTTCAATCATTTTGAAATTTTTATCATTTACTTATTATGCTTCATTAAGTACTTATACAAAATTTTATTAAAATAAAACCATTTAAACTGGGTGTTCGGATTTATATGTCACTTAGTATATATTAAATAGAGAAACTGCTGTGAGAAATTCTCATAGATGTCGTTGCGGTATCTCATTTTATAATTTTTTGGACGCAGGAGTATTGCAATAGGTTGGCTATGTTCAGGTAGAGTAGGTCAATAGTAGCATGCAGCTAGTAAATAAAAGCACTGGTAAGCAGCTCATAGTTAACTTTCGAGCCGATCTTCGTAGTTTTTTCTTCAACCGATTTCCTATTTTTCTTTTAACAGAAACAGTTCATGGCAAAACTAGTTCTCCCCACGCCTGGACGCGAGATCGCACGAGTGTCCTTCTTAGGTCCCTTCTTGAGTGTCTCAGTGTTCGCCGAAGATGAACCAAAACTGGCCGAGAAATTCTTTTCGGGCTCATCCAGCGACAAAGCGCTGGTCAAAATGCTACATTCCGAATTGGAAAATGTCAGATCGCTCCAGCACAAGATATTTCATCTGATGATCGCCAATCAGGACAGTAGAGATCAGAGCTTGAACTATATTGCTGAGGTGTTGAAACATAACGAAAAACGGTAAGCTGAATTATTTTTTTTGTTATTAACTCTTTTTTTACCTTTTTTTTTTTAGTTCTAATCTGTTGGTATATCGATTCTTTACATTTCGCCTTTCGTGGTAATTCAAAAGCGTGTAAGTGCCATATTTAGGCATTTTTGAATTTCAGTGATTTTTATGGTCCATGCACCATGGTTTAAATACCCCCTTGAACAACTTGCACCGATAAAACTTTAGACTTTACAATTATTTCGGGAAAATTTGCTAATATGATTAGAATAACGTAGAAACCGATTTTCCCGTTTAATGATGACTCAGCGTAATATACCCAGTGGACATTTATATGCACTGCTGTAGATTTTTTTTAAAGAAACTGTTACTAATACGCTATGTTTATGACACTGACCACATGGACTATATGAACTCATGAACTCTATAAAATTATGCATAGAACCCTCATATGTACGATTGTATATAAATTGGTTAATAATTGATGTCATATGATAGAAAATTGGGCATGAAATTGTAATCAAACGAGTATACAGTTTGGCTAAACGCCAGTCGCAACATTCAGGCAATTGTCAAATTTACAAAAGTTCCATGAACTTTTCGTCGCATTATTACGATGCTGATTGTATGGAAATGCGCCAAGCTTTTTGCGACACTGTGGAAAATTTGCTTACGAAAGATTTTAAATAGCTTCCGAGCATACGCAAAATTTTGGCCGCGCTAATAACCTTGAAACGTTTAAAAACCGCGTTGAAATTGGATTTGTTTGTTTGCTGTAGATTTATTTAGCATTGATGCTACAATACCAAAGTTACACAGTATGGATATCACATATTATATTATGTCTTCAAGACTACATAAATTTTTTTACAAAAATTTCACTACTATGAATTCTGGTTTTCTATGAAATATCATCACTTCATCAATCTAAGATTTTCTTGAATATTTAGCTTCTGGTTGGTCCATTTTAATTGTCCAGCAGTAATCTGCTAACATATTTGGGCTCCATTTGCCCTGGTACCGCTTTTCCATATTAGAAATGTCCTGATGGAACCTCTCACCGTGCTCGTCGCTGACAGCCCCCAAATTGTCAGGAAAAAAATCCAGGTGCGAGTCTAAAAAATGGATCTTAAGTGACATGTTGCAAGCCAATGCTTGATATGACAATAATAGCTCGCTAACCAACTCTCTGTAGCTGTCACTCTTGTGGTTACCCAAAAAATTTGCAACAACATTTTTAAAAGCCTTCCATGCAGATGTTTCTAAATCGCTTAATTTTTCTTCAAATCTTGATTCTTTTATTAACTCCCTAATTTGAGGGCCAACAAAAATACCCTCTTTTATCTTTGCATCACTTATTTTAGGGAATTTTTCTTTTAGATACAAAAATCCACTCCCATTGCGATCCATTGCCTTCACAAAATTTTTTATTAATCCTAATTTGATATGCAATGGTGGTAGAAGCACATTATTGGCTGTACAAGGGGTAAATACTTTACGTTTTTTTGCCCAGGAACTAACGATGCACGCGTAGGCCATGTTTTTTTTTATATAGTGATTAGTTCTGTCTCGGCTATCCCATTCACAAAAGCAGCAAAACTTTGTATAACCCAGCTGAAGTCCAAGTAATAGTGCAACAACTTTAAGATCACCGCAGATTTTGAAGGAATATGTACTGTAATTTATTTTTTCAAGTAAAAGTTTCATATTTTCATAGATTTCTTTCATATTTGCAGCATAGGCCAGAGGTACAGACGGAAGCTTATTTCCATTATGCAATAACACTGCTTTTAGACTTGCTTTCGAAGAATCAATGAATAAACGCCACTGAGAGAGATCAAAATCTATGTCCAACATTTTCATAATCTCATTTATGTTATTGCAAAACACCAAATCTCCATCCTGAGAAAAATACGTTCTGAAGTGTTGATCGGTTTCGAAAATAGCTAACTTTTGTATTATGATGTAGCAAATTCCATTCTTTTAGACGTGATCCTAATAGTTCTGACTGCTTTTTGACAAATTTAAATCCGGAACCAAATCATTTAGGTCTCCTTGAGTTATCAAATGTGGCTCGTTTACAATTCCTTTTAACTCAAAGTCATCGTCCTCCTCAACACATTCACCTGAAGTGGACGGTTGTGAATTGTTCTCAACAGACGTAGTTGCAACTGGTATTAGTTCTGGCAGTTTTTTACAATGAGAGACTGGTCTTATAGCCGAAGATAAGTTAGGGTAAATAACTGTGTTTTTTTTCTTGTAATTTATACCTTTTATGTCTGTGAGACAAAAATAGCAATCTGAAACGTGATCTCGCTGTTCAGTCCATATCATGGGTACAGCAAACGGCATAGGTCGTGCACCTTTCTTCCAGTCGGTTAAATTTTTCACACACGTTATGCAACAGACATGAGTGGCCCAGGATTTATCTTGATGGGCGACAGAAAAACCAAAACATTGGTGATAACACTCCAACACAAGATTCGTAAAATTTCGTCGTTGTTTTTTGAATGTTAGTTCTCCGCAGACGTAACAAAAAGAGTTAGGATCATTATTACACTTCCTCGACATATTCACAGGGTTAATAAATCACAAAAAAGTGTTCAAATTCAACAACAAATATTTTTATAAGGATTTACTTGTAAGCGTTTCTGTTCATTTACTGCCGTAGTACTAGTTATGAGTATTACCGTATCACAACAAATATGAGGCTAATAGACATATGACAGCTGTCATGTAATAATGAGGGTAGACTGATAAAACAAAATTAGCTGTCAAAGTTCGTGTTGACCAGTGTTATTCTTATAATGAATAAAATAATTGCAGGCGACTAAGCAATTTGTCTACATGATTAGTAAAATTTATAATCAGTGGTCAGACCCAAAAACTTGATTGTGTCTGTTTTATATAATAATTAATAAAATCAAGGGAGTATTGAAATGTCATAAAATTTGTCTTATTAACATTGAAAGTGAAGTAATTGTCACGCCATTTTTTTATTATTTGTATATCACTATCAATTTTTGTCTTAATTTCAGTTCTATCTGTGTCTTGCCAAGGCATTGTGGTATCGTCATTTATATATATATCATTTACCATTAATTATTAATCCTTGATATTGACTAAGAACAGGATCAGACCTAATACTGATCCTTGAGGTGTGCCTGCGTTTAAATTTAATTTATTTGAAATATAATGTATTGAAGATTTTACAATTTGGGATCTATTATTTAAACATGTTTTAAACGAATTGAGTGCACTTCCGGTACAACCATATCCGTTTAATTATTCTAATAGTATACCATGATTTACACAGTCAATTGCTTTCTAAAAATCGCACAAAGAGAGCTATTGCAATTTGTGTATTGTTTAAATTTGAGTATAACTGTTGGTGTAATGTAAGGCCTGAAGCTACACAATGTCGACCTTATGTGTTAAATTTTTGTAATATTTTCTATAGGCAGCAGCGGTGGCCGCAGTAGTAGACTCTTCGGTCTCCTGATCAGTCACCGTGCGCTGTGCGGGTTCGGGTCCCGTCCCAGGAGAAATTTTTCTTTTGGCTATGGATGTTGTGATTGTCCGTAGGTGGTAGACGGTCTCTGACTGTCGAACGTGGAGGTACCACCCGGCGGATCTCGTAGGCGGAGCCAGAATGTGTGCATGTTGCATGCACACGTGTTCCCTCGCCAGAGTCCGTGTGGCGTTCCCCCTTTCCCCTGTATCCCCCTATAGCCCCACGGTACCCAATGGGTGTTTAGGCTTTAGGCCTTCGTGGTAGTTGGAATATAAAAAAAAATAAATGAAAACAACGATTCTCTGTTACGCAATTTATGTGTGTTTGTAAGAGCGAGTAACTGTCTGTTAAGGATCGGCTTGCGCAGTGTGCAAATTCTCTTGATAGGTTAAGCTCATCAAGTGGCACATTTAAGACGATCTGTTCGTATGACAAGTGTAGCAGTTTCTTAATATTTTCTGTTAGTTTGGCAACCCTGCTTGGTTGCTTCCCCGAGAGATGCCAAACCATCTATGAGCGAACCGCCAAATTAAACGCGATTCGCTTATAGATCGCGCGCTAGCCGATTTCAGAGACATTCCACCTAGTGTCCTTTATTGGTATAACTGCTCTTTGGTGTTGTGTTACTAGAGTTTCCCTGACCCCAGTTACTTTTTTCGGCAGGGCACAAATCCAGGTAGAAGAAAGGGCGTTAGCCGGCGATGGGTTCATGTTAAATTTGCTGAGCGTTCTACAGAACTTATCAGTGAAGATAAAGTTAAGCAGAGTAGATTTTATGTATCCCTTCCATCCTGATGCTCAAGTGAGCATCAAGAACGACACAAGACTGAAGTTTACCTCTCAGGAAGCCGCTGATTGGCTAGAAGAATTCGGTGAGTATACGCAATACTTCAGTTGAAAAAATATTTTTATAATCTAGTAATTCTTTTCTTAAACCGAATCGAGTATATGTAAAAGGTCATACGCACGATTGTAGTTGTAGAGGGGTGGGCCATAATAACATTTACTTTTGAAAACAACGTAAATGAAAGCAGGTTATACCTAGAAGTTCACTAATTTTTTGATGTAAAAAGACATTGGCAATTTATGTTTTGAAAATGATATCATCAAGGCGGCCTCCAGATCTCCCAGAACACTCTTCCAACCTCAGATTGTGGAACACTCGCCTGCAACCCAACTAACAATTATCACTCCTATTAGAGTTGCAAGAATGATTATACAGTATTCCTTAAACAGCATTGTATACTGTAAGAACATTGGCAAAACCCTCTTAGAACAGCTATACAAGCGGAATGGGCACACCTAATAGGACACTTCAGTCATTTAAGAGATTGTATAAAGGCTGCAGGTAACAGTTATAAAACAAAAGTGTAAGCCTCTTGCAGCCGCTATAGGACATTTGCGTCAGTGCAAGATTCAGTTTTTGTCAACTATACAACTATTCTCTTACGTGATTCTACTTTATTGCAACCAAACTATTTCCTATGTAATGTATAGACGAAGTGAAGAATATATAACTAACACATTACAGTCATTTTGTTTACTTACATATCGCCCATTGTGAATTTCATACACAGGTATATGATAAACTTCTACACTTTGATATAGGGCTATTCAATTACTTGCGCAGCAAATTTTATTGTGATTATCGTGCAAATTAGTTACCCAATTTCTACGGGCTTCGTATTTGATTCATATTTTGACAATGATCCAAAGTATGTCTAGATTTTTAAGATGGAAAACTGAACTTAACTGCGTTAAATCTTCCACAAATCCTATATTTAGACACAATTACACTAATGTTTATCACTTTATATCTGTAATTTCGAACTGAAACATAATTATTTAATATTAAATAGAGGAATAAATGTTTGCCCAATATGGCGGGTGGTTGTGTACAATCATGGCATCGTCCATGTTGTCTTTAGGTTATTAATATTTGGTGTTGCCTGCAGGTGTTATACAACAGTTTGACAAATGTCTGAAATGAAATACCGACAGAGTCGAATGATTTACCCAGAATTTGTACCAGATCTATATCTTCTGTTTGAACAGTTGATAAAACCTTTTGAACCGATATGTATGCGTTGTTTGTCTTAAAACATCGGTTATGGCATTTTAACAAAAATATGACAGCAGAAAGTTAGGTTATGGTGAAGTTGTTTACCAACATATTTAGCATATGTAACAGTTGTATAAGTGCTTCCGTTGGGAGCAATTTGTTGGCTAATGTAGTAAATTGCACAGCAAAGCAACAAGGCTCAGGTTTGTTTTATAAGCGTTAGCATGGGTGCCACAACACAACCATTTTGACTAACTTGCAAATATGCCGTATAAAATAGTTGTATAGACGTTTATGCAACAGTTAAAATTTTGCCCTATAAGGTGTTGTATAACTATGCTTTAAGAATATTTTAAACACCTCATTTTAGAGCAAATATGTTGCAGAAAGCAAATTTGCATTCCACACAACATTAAGCCAGCATTTTGGTGTTCAGGCAACAACAATAGAGAGCTTTTATGGCTGAACGGTTCTTTTACCAAAAGCTTATACCACTACTTTGCTAGTTGGGAAGTTACTCTTGAGATTGCGGCCATTTCGTGTCTAATGCTTTGCTTTTAATTCGTTGATGCTCTTTGGATTAGCATTGTAGACTCGGCTCTTGAGATATCCACATAAAAAGAAATGGAGTGAGACAAGTCACGGATTCGTGGTAGCCAATCAGTGTCCCACATTGGACGTGTGACAGGTAGCGCCGTCCTATTGAAATCACGTCATGGAGTTGAGTTCATCAAAGTCTTGGAGCTTTTGGACCAGAAACTCTCTCAGCATTCGAACAAAACGTTCTGAATTAACAGTTACAGATTGCCCGGTATAAGAAAAGTAGGGTCTAGTCAAACCGCTAGGTGATATTACTGCCTATAAACTGTGACTTTTTGGCAGTGAAGTGGTTTTTGATGCTTCAGCGAAGGCTGCTTCGCACTCCAGTATCGACAGTTTTGCTTGTTCACAAAACCGTTCAAATGAAAGTGAGCCTCGTCTGAAAAAAGGATGTTTCTCAAATCACAAAACCGCTCAAGCACTAACACTGGAAATTCTATTCTCTTTGTAAAACCAGTGTTTTTTAATTCTTGGTGGATTTGAATTTTATATGGATGAAGTGTCAAGTCACGCTTCAACATTCGTCTCAAACCCATACAAGCAATACTCATAGTCGCTGAACGTCTACGAGTTGAAAGCTCTGGTTAGACCCGGATGCCATAGTCCGCACTTTATACTGTCAATACTAATGAACAACTAAATCAACTGACGTACTGCTGGCGGCTACTATGCACTCATGGACATGTCTCAACATGCAGTAACATGCAGCCTCCTGCGTCCGTTTGTTAAGTCGTAACTTTTATAAAACCCTTTGTATTTAGCATTACTTAGTAACTCTTAGGCCGTATCGTCAGTCGTTCCTACAATTGTAGGGCGCGTTTATGGCCTCCTTGATTGTCATACTCCTTTCTCTCCTTCAAAAATTTCTAGATTACACTTGTCCCGTGTCAGCGTCAGCGCTCTCCTATTGTGAAGATATGTTTTCTTTTTAAATTGTAGGAAATTTCAGGCTGATAAAACATGATATAACTCAAAAGCAAGCACAATTTGATGCAAATAGATGTTTGTGAGATAACCTCAAAATAGAGCTCTGACACGGAGAAGTAGAAAACTATGACAATCAAGGAGGCCATGAAGGCCCTTGGCACAAAAAATACTCACGGAATTATCAGTAAATACTGATGGTACGGACTACAGTAAATACCGGCCTTGTGACATTCGCCTTATTGTTCACTTAATCTCCAAGGAACGTTAATAAGTGTGATTTTGATTGAATTTACTTGACACCACTATTTTTTGGCCAGCCAACCAATCGTCAAGTAATCAACCAGCCGGTGGCAGCGAATCCCGTCCCCGTTCGAACTTCTCCACCCTCTGCTGGTTTTTGACGTTGCACTGCCACCATTTGGCCCTGATTCCGGCCCTGCACAAGTACCAGCGACGCGTCAGAGCCGCCCGAGATCTGCAGAAACTGCTCGATGAAACGGCAGCGGCGGAAGCGCAATGGCGGGATACGCCGTTCGCGGATAGAAATAGGCAGTTTATTAGGAGGTGGAAGCAGCAACTTAAGAAGCTCAACAAGTGAGTAGAAATAGTTTATTTCTTTTTTCACATGGTCGGGGATGCTGGCGACTCACTATTTTCGCCTCTCGCTGTACATATAGTTTATGAACTTTTTGAAGGAACTGAACTCCTTCTCTCGACCCCACGAAATTAAATGAAGACATTTTTTTATAAAAATCGACTATGACAAAGTTGTACTGAGCCAATATGTCGCTCATTGAATGCAGAACTAGCTCAAGTCACAAAATGCCAATTTACAGGACATCATTTTTTCTGATTTTGTCTAAACTTCTTGCAAGTCTTGAATGAAAATGTGTTCATACTATGAGTATACTTGGATGTGTTTTGCTCTTTAAGTTTTTTTTTATTTAGGCTTACAAACTGAAATTTGTGGACTTAGGATACTCGTCTTCGTGGAAGTTGTATCCTATGTCCACATAGGATAGGGTGTAGTCGTAATATAAGTACTTAGGCTAGTTTGACCCATGTTTGTATCTATATATGTACATCAGCTTATTCAGTACAAAAATAGAAACGGGAATACCTTGAAAACATTTATTGACAACTAAGCAGTCTTAGTATACAGGCACATAATATTATAATTAACTACCAAAACATAAACGAGGCATTCAAGTAAACGATGGACAGTGCTCAAAATAATAACAGGAAACAAAAATTATAATTCAGTATCCCCACCAGATCAACTACTGCTACCTGATATATAAAAAAGTGGTAGTATTAAGAAACTTTTTGTAACAGAAAAATGATGAACTTCGCGCTTTCAAATCAGAAAAATCATCTTTGTCCATCTCAGTTACTACATACGGTTTACTTTTTTTTGCCCTGCGTACTAAAGTATACCTTTGATCAGGGGTAAATAAAGGGATAAGCTTAGATGCTCGTTCAATTACACTATGCATCGAATCCCCTTCGGTTTGCGTATGACATTTCTCCAAAAATGTATGCCTTATCACAATATTGTGCTTCTGTGCTAATAAGCTATACGTACTAAAAATATATTTGTTTCGATTTTGACCTGCACAATTGTCGGAATAGAAAGAAAATTCTCTCGTATCTTCATGTACTTTGAGGTCGATAAAGCGCATCAAACAGCTGTCTATTTCTGAGCTTCCCCTTTTCCCAACAGACTCGTACCACATGTAACAATGTCCTTCAGAAGTTTCCAAGTTAAAAATCGTGAAATTGTATGTTGATAATTTAAGTTTGTAATATGCCATACCAACATTACTTTTGGGGAGCAGTATTTGTTCCAAATCAAAAACGGCTGCACAAAATTCTCTATTTTGCTTAGCCGTCTGTTTATCAGCATTTTTTAAATCCCGTCCAATGTCCTTGTTCTTTCTGTGCAACTGGTATTCTTCTTCCATTTCATTTCTTTCTTCCGTTGTTCCGCCATCATACTTGTTGCAAATATCATACAAATCTTTTTTAGGGATGAAGAATGAGAAGTTTAATTCGGTGTTGAAGATTATTCTGTAAATGCTCTCTGTCGCAGGTTGGATGTTGTTCTGCTCACAATATTCAAGATAAAGGCCATACATCTTCGAAATATTAAGCGTTGGGTGCAGAAATTGCTTTGAAGTGTTTTTTCGGCAGTAGTGACTCTTCACTGTTTCGATTAGATTAATGTGGTCCCTCACTGACTGCTTTATTGAATCACTCAATTTAGAATTCTTGCATGCCTTACCACACCGATCTGCCCCGACTGTACCGGTGCTACCCATTTTTTTAACACTGTCTTAATGACCTGGGCGCTTATCCCTAAAGTATTCATAAAAAAAGTTTTAGAGACCGCTATTTTCTATCGACGATTTAAAAATGTATACTTAAAGGAAAACGCCTTTTTTCTTCTGGTTGTGTTTTCTGTACAGGTATATTCGTTACTACTGTTTCCATCCTGCTTACTCAACCGTGTTCTTTTCTTGTCCATTATATTTACATACTGGGCAATAAATCCCGTTGTCTATTGACGTCCCCCAGTTGCCAATATCTGTTTCCTCTCTTCTTCTGTGAACTTTTCGCTGCACTTTTGTCTGCAGTTAGTACAAGGAGGTTTTGGTTGCCTTTTTGGACGGAAGTTTCCTCTCCAGTCTATATACTTTCTCGCCAAGATTCCGCAGCTTATTTATTTCATTTCTTCTCCATGCACCCGGATTCCTCTGTCTCTCTGTGTGTTTTTCTTGGTTTTCATCGGCTCATTTTTATCATGTTCTGATGAGTTTTCGATATTATCTGGATCTCTACTGTGAGTTGAGTTTTTCCTTAATGTTGGTATATAGTCCATTTCATTGCTATCATCACTGGTGGCAAATGGGTCACTCTCACATTCAGAAAGCATAAAATCATCCTCTATAGTATTTGAGGATTTTGATGTCAGATGTCAGTATTTTGTAGAACAGTTTTCTCATATGTATCTCCACCGTTCAATTCAACTACAGCGGGACTATTGATCGTAAGGATTTCATTGGATGGAAATTCCTCAATGGTTACAGAGTTTTGTAGGATGTAAGTTGAACTTTCCCAAGGCATCAAAAAAGAGTAGGCTGTTGGGTGATACTGTCCTGCATCAGTTGAGCTACGCGAAGAAGGTATTTTGGGAACATCATCAGCTTGGTTGTTCGAAGTTGTTGATCCCCCATCATCTTCTTGTACATATTCTAGAATCAAATTGGACATTGTAAATTAACAGAAAGGCAACAGGAACGGATGTGGGAAAATTTTTGAGATCCACCTACAGAAAATAATAGTCGGGCTAATAATTGTTTAGCTCTAATCCTATAACCCAATCAGTTTTCCCTTCCTATTCCTCTTCGAGTCACCCTCAAATCGTCTTTTGTAGATTATAACTTTATAGTTTATACAGTATCGAAGTCTAATGTCACTTACCTTCTGTAATAGCCTCTCCAATTTTTTGTTTGGCATTCGTAGTAAACGATGTAGATGAGCTCCTTTTCTCTTGATGTATGCTTACAAATCATGCCCATACATAATTTGGAAATTATTAAAACTTAATTTATTGTCTCACCAGCCTTCGGGGTGCCTTCCGATTTTTTGG